GTGAATGCTCCAACACTGGAAGTTTTTAAGAAGAAACTGGACAGCCATTTGTCCGAAATGGTGTAGGGTTTCCTGCCTGAGCAGGGGGTTGGACTCGATGACCTCCAAGGTCCCTTCCAACTTTATTATTATTATTATTATTATTATTATTATTATTATTATTATTATTATTATTATTATTATTATTATTATTATTATTATTATTATTATTATTATTTGAGAATGAAGGAATGGGAGAAAGAAAGTCGATGAGTGTGGAGGGGAGGGGTGGCTGTAGCAAAGATTTGAACGAGCTGCTTTTTAGAATGGGCTTCCCCTCTAGAGAGGAGGTGTCCAACCTTGGCAACTTCAAGACCTGTGGGCTTCAACTCTCAGAATACCTAGCTGGGGAATTCTGGGAACTGAAGTCCACAAGTCTTCAAGTCGCCACGGCTAGACACCCCTGCTCTAGAACTTGGCAGTCAAGATGCAGAGCCCGCACACGCGATTGGACCTGAACCCAAGCCAGCCAGCCAGCAAAAAAAAAAAAGGACTAGTGCTGGTCATCCAGAGGTTTCTGCAGGAGAGGATACCACATTTTTGCCATTCCCCCTTGGGGACATCCCTGCAGTGATCCACGACTCCCTCCTCAAATCGAGCCCAGGGCTTCTGCAACTTTTATAGCAACTTTGACCCTCACCGGTATTTGCTGGATTTCGCCTGTGTTGGTGATGATCTGTTGCATGACTTGCATAGTTGGCGCGGTCCCACTCTGCGTTGGCTGGGCCTGTCCCTGTGGCTGGGCCTGAACGATCTGTACCTGCTGTCCTTCGCCCACCTGCATGGTCACAGGAGTGGTCTGAAAGAAGAGAGGCAGACAAGAGAAGGTGGAGGGCATCTCAGAGACATTGGTCAGCTGCACTCGTGTCCTGCAACGTGGCCAGGACCACGCTCAGAATCCGCAAGCAAGTGGAAGTGATCCCCTCTGTTCAGCGTCGCAATCTTTTAGACAGAAAAGGCCCAAGA